GAGAAAGGAAAGATGAGGGATGGATATGGGTAAAGGCTAGAAGACAACACAAACGTGACATTCAACCAGTGGGCCAGATCAGTCTTCCAGCCCATGCATTTCCCTACAAGCCCATTTCCCAACATAAAAATAATTCCCTTCCTTCAAAACAAATGGATATATCCAACAAAGGCAAACATGCAACCCAACGTCCCACTAAAATTATGGTGGGTCCACATTCTCCCCCTAATAGTGATGATGATTGGGAATCATTTATGCCATCCATAGAAGACATCCAGGAAGAACAGCCACTCCTCAATATTGTCCAAGGAGACCCCTCTTCATTGGACCCCTCTCCTTCCAAGGTAGTGGAAGAATGCCCCTTCCGAGATCTCTCTTATATAATGGTGGAAAAGCCCATGCACTGCATGGATATTGTCCCCTACGTCTCACAGCTGGACTCACTTCTTGAATATAAGAAACCTTTCCAGCCAACTCCGGGTAGCAAAGATGACTGTTGGACTATCACAAATTTGGAATGAAATTGGGAAAATCCTGAGCAAGATGATCAAGAAGTGGAAGATACTCCTATTTTGTGTCACTTTGAGGGAGAAGAAGAAGTTGTGCCTTTCATCACTGGAAAAATGTTTCCTTTGGAAGTGGACCTCAAAAACTGCTCTCAAGTATCCATTCCAATCCCTAAACCCACAAAAGCCAAGAAACAGATCCCCCAGTAGTAGGATTACAAGAAGTAAAACTGTTAAAGATGTATCTCCCAACCCTTTTATTCCATGAAGCTTCTTTTTTGGAACATCGGTGGGGTTGCTTCCTCCCTCAGCAGATTAATTTTCTTCAAGAGGAAGCACGACTTGGATTTCTTATGCATCGTTGAACCTAGAGTCCACGCCTCCCAAATTCAATTTTACATGCTTAGCTTGGGTTTCTCTCATCACCTTTCGTCTCAAAACAACAAACTCTAGATTTTCTGGAATGCTTAAACACTATCTCTGCTGTCCTCTAAAGAGGAGTCACAAGTTACACATTGTGAATTCTCTCTGGATTCCAGCTCTACCTCTTTTGTTATTTCCTCTGTGTGGCAGGCAGGAAAACCCTTTGGTCCAATCTCCAAAATTATCACCCCTTGCAGAATAATTGGATAATAGGAGGTGATTTCAATGCCATCACATCACCCCTGGAATCCAAAGGAAGATGTCTTCCTAGACAACAAAGTATGGAAGATTTCCTCCAATGCATCAACAATTGCACGCTTATCTATCCAGAACCTAAGGGTTCTATCTTCACTTGGTCAGGAGTGCGCAATCAAGGTAGGACCTGGCGCAGACTTGATAGAATTTTACTCAACTTAAACACCCTCGCATTTTTTGAGGAAGTGGAACGTTTGCACCTATCTAGGGCAAACTCAGATCACAAACCACTGCTCCTCTTATGCCATGGACAATGCCACTCAGGTCCAAAACCTTTCAAGTTTTTAAATGTCTGGACCCATCATGATTCCTTCATGGATACTGTCAAAAGATCTTAGCACAGTACACCTACTACTAGAGGCATGAGGGGGCTAATCTTTAAACTGAAAAACCTGAAGATTGCTTTGAAGGAATGGAATACATCCCACTTTGGAAATATCTTCCTTAAACTGGAAGAAGCTGAGGAAAAGGCATCTAAAGCACAGAGGAATTTTGAGAATGACCCAACAAACCATCACTGTGAAATGGCACAACTAGAAAATGCTCAACTCATCCATGCTGTAAACAATAAGGTGGCATACTGGAAACAAAAAGGAAACATCAAGTGGCTAGAAAAGGGAGACACAAACTCCAAAATATTTCAAGCCTTCTTCTGAGGGCAAAAGTTGAAAATCAACCATATCCTGTCTTCTGAGGGCAAAGGTCTCTATTCCCATGAGGACATCAAACAGGAAGGCGTTTCCCATTTTCAGAAGGCTTTCACATCCAATCCCTGTGGCATTATGGAGCTTATCCTTTCTAATATCCCAGCTCTCATCACCTTAGAAGATAATGCTCTCCTAACTTCCCTTCCTTCATTGGAGGAAGTAAGAGACACAATATAGAGCCTTGATGGGGACAGTGCAAGCGGCCCTGATGGTTTCAATGGCAATTTTTTCAAACATTGTTGGCCTATTATTAAACAGGTTGGCATCACAAGAATTTTTCCTATGACTTCCTATTCCAAAAGGTTATGGAAGCACTCATATATCTCTTATCCCCAAGAAAGCAAACCCTAAAAGATTTGATGATTTCAGGCCCATATCTCTCTCAACCTTCATGAGCAAAATTAACACCAAGCTAGTTGCAAACAGGTTAAAGATCCTGTTACCAAAAATCATTTCAGAAGAACAGGCAGCCTTCCAAAAGGGGAAATCCTGTGATGACCACATTTTAATGGCAAATGAAGCTTTACATCACATTGACAAGAAGTTTTTTGGGGGTAATGCCATCATCAAAATTGACATGGCTAAAGCCTTTGATAGGATGGATTGGGGCTACATTGAACACATCCTCAAGGGTTTTGGTTTCTCTGATATGTCCATCACTATTCTCATGGAAAACCTTAAAAACACTTACATCAGTATTCTCATAAATAGAGAACCCACTGAATTTTTCAAGATGGAAAGGGGGGTAAAACAGGGCGACCCCCTATCCCCTCTTCTCTTTATTATTGGAGGGGAAGGTTTATGTAGACTTATTAACCATCACATGTCTTCTCATTTTATTAGCAGGTTTAATGTGGGCAGTGTTCTTATGGTGAGTCACCTCATCTACGCAGATGATCTCATCATTTTCACAAAGGGTGACATATGAAATCTATTAAGAATCAAAGCCATCCTTAGGGAATACTTCTCAACCTCTAGTCAAGATATGAACAACAACAAAAGCAGATTCTACACCAACAAATCTACAAATCCTGTCCAAATTCAAAAGATGGATGAGGCACTAAACATTAAAGCTAGTTATTTACCCTTCACATACTTGGGTGCAACTCTCTGTAAAGGAATCCTTAGAAGAGAACATTGCAATAACCTGGTGGATCATTTCCATAAGCATCTTACCTCTTGGTACAGCAGAACCATCAACCAAATGGGAAGACTAATTTTGATTAAGCATGTACTCTCCTCCATACCTTTACACCACCTTGCAGTTAACCTTTTACCCATGTATGTCATTGTTCACCTCCACTCTCTCATGAGCAATTTCTTCTGGGGAAGCAACAAGGGTACCCCCAAATACCACTGGAAAAGCTAGAACTTTATGTGCCAGCCCAAACAGGCAGGGGGAGCTTGGGATAAGGGACTTGGAAACCATCCAACGGGCATATTCTCTCAAATTATGGTGGAAGATTCACACTAACAATGGATTATGGGCCACTTACATGAGAAACAAATACCTCAAAGACAATCTTGTGAGGGAAAAAATCATTGACTCTCCTACATGGAAGAGGATCTGCAGGATTGATCACCTTGCTAGAGACCATTGGTCTATGAAAAACAATATTCCTAATTGGGATGGGGGGTTTTCTTCTTAAAGTCTGCTTTTCAGAGTCTAATTGAGAGTCAGATGGAACTCCTTACGGCCAGGTACTTATGGCACAAATCGCAAATCCCAAAACTCAAAACTTTCATGTGGAAAGCTCTTTACAACTACCTCCCATTCCCCAAAAACCTCCACAGGTTTAACTTTCATCTTCCAAGCATCTGTATCTTTTGTAAAAGCCGCGAGGACACTATTGACCACTCTCTACTCAGCTGCAAATTCAGTAGAGCAAATTGGAACTTCTTTGCTAGGCTGGTTGATGGTCCCTTACTAAGGTCACCCATTACCCTTCGACAGCACCTTCTGGCGTGGTGGTTTACAGGAAATCAAAAATCCTTCAAAGGCATCCTGAGACTAATCATTCATCGTCACCCAGTCTCTCTGAAAAGCAAGGAACACCTCCCTCTATGAAGACAAGCTCATCTCCCAGATCTCGGTTACGCAACAGAGCTTCCAGCTCATCCAAAGCTGGTGCAGGATTAACAGAAATCGCAAGTGGATTATCTACGATTAGGACTTCCAAGGTTGGGGTTTGGACCAAAGGTTTGTTTTAATTTAATTTTTTCATCTTCGATTGAACCAAAGGTTTGTTTTTTATTTTGAATTACATTTGACCAATTGACCCCCTTAACACTCAATAGGTAGGAGCCCTTGAGATATTAGGGCATTGTTGTAAAAGGAATGATTTAGATTGGACTACAAAAGTTTTCAAAGTAAAGCGAGCCACAACAATAATTTCAAAAGGAAAACTTCTCAAGTTAGTCTGGTGAAAGAGTTCACAACATGTAATTATTTTAATAAATGAGGACATGCGTTATGACATGAAAATTTAAAGAATTGACATTTAAAAAATACTCCGTAAGAAAAAGTAAACAACAACAACAACAATCCAGTTGAATCCCACAAGAGTAGGGTCTGGGGAGGGTGTGTACGCAGACCTTACCCCTACTCAAAAGTAGAGAGGCTGTTTCCAAAGAGACCCTCAACTCAACGTTGAAAGTTGCATTGCTTGACTAATTGCTACTTCATTAATTAAAGAAGCGCAGACAGTTTAGATATCCATTTTGATTTATTCCATCACACTCCAAAGCCAAAAAATTGTGAAATTTTGGCTCCATCGGAGATGATGGAAAAGTAAGAAATAGTAAAAATGAGCTTAAATCACATAAATAAAATGAAATGTAATTTTGAACAAAAATACAATGATAGAAAGGGATTTAAAAAGCATTAAATAAATGAAGTATAAATTATTTTAATAAAAAAATTTAAAAAAATATTATGGATATAAAAGAGTGCAAATTAAAAGCTTATGTCAATATAGCGAAGTGAATTTAGCCCCTACCAATTGTGGAGTGCAACTCAAAGTGCTGTGATGAGCCAAAAAAATTAAGGGCATTATATATTTGGGATCGATTCAAATCAGATGACATCTTACGGTGAGATGACATGCTACGGTCAGACGCAAAGCTCACCACTGGCCACTGCAAAGCTCATCAAGGACAACTACAAAGCTCACCATATGTTTCAACACTTTGAATTTTTTGAAAAATATAAAATTAAAGGATGCTAACTAGATTTTGACCGTTGACCGCCGCCACCTGCCACCGGTTGCCAACACCAGCCTCCGCTCGCTCGCTGGACGTCACTGTTGACCGGTAGTTGACCGGTGTTGCTATTTTATTTTTAATAAATTTTTTAATTTTCAAAATTTAAAAATATGTGAATTTTGGTATTCAAAGTGGTAAGCTTTGCTTTATTTCCAGGTGAGTTTTGCATTGGCCATTGGCTATTGGTAAGCTTGGCATCATCTCACCGAAGCATGTCATCTCATTATAAGGTGTCATCTGACTGGAGTCAATCCACATATACACACACACCCCCGACTGTGTTACAAAAAAAAAGCAGAAGTGCCTTCCATCAACACTTGCATCAAACCTAAAGTGCACAAAACACCACAAAAGAGACACTATTCCAAGATAGAACAATATTTTTCACTCAAGCAAGAATTAAGAAAGCTGATTTCTTGTCATAAAGATTGTTGCATGTGTTAAACGTCAGCTACGCCAAGCCGAAGACTTTTCCAAATCAACATTGTCTTCCCACCATGTTGAGGTCTGCATGCAGCAAAAGAATCAAATCAATCATTAAAATCAACCATTTTACAACCACACTTCCTATATACCATGCTTGTGAAATGAGAATAAAAAGAGAAGGGGAATCTGGAAATGCGTCCGGGCACCTTGAATCCCCTTCGAAGAAATTCAAGTGTGCTTCCCTTCTCCTCCTGAAGACCTAAGACCCGCAACAGCTCTTGCTTGGTCTGCCACCATAACAAGCACGCCAAAAGAGTCATTTAACCAACCATACATATTTCGAGACAGACAGGAAACAAAAGTGTGTATGTGTGTGTGTGTGAGTGAGTGTGTGTGTGTGGGTGTTCTTACTTCTCCGAGTGTGAAGCGAGATTCACTCTCTGCTATGCAGGCAAAAGAACCATCTGTTTGTTTCAACATCACCTGCCACGGGCCTGATTTATAATATTAATTATAATAGGAAGTAGCATATAAGTTAAGACAGCATGCGTGCAAGTTCCTCCCATTCATAATTCTCAGAAAATAGGGGCATGCAACAAAAGTTGTACCCGGGTATAAACGAAGTAGAGCTCCACTATAGTTTAAAACATAGGGTGCCACAGCAACAGTCTTCCAACGGGGGGAAATGCAACCATTATTGTTAACAGAATGGGTAAAAACGACAACTTTTATATAAACAGAGTACAAGCTGGAATGCACCTTGGAATAATCTTGAGTTCGAATGTAAAACACAGGGATGAATTGCGAAAGAAATCGATAATGCAACTCTTTGGATGGAAATCCAAAGAGCCCCAGGTCCCCACTGTTATTTGCAACACAATCCATCATAAAGAAGGGATTCAAAGTGAACATTAAGAAAACAATTTTGTGAAAATATACCGCAAAGTGTCAAGTTCTAGATTAAACAGCACAACAGGGGTTTCCGTGGCAAATTTTTCCTGCATCATGCCAATATGACAGAGATGAAAATGAAGGTAAGGATTTGAAAAATTGTATACTTGTATTGAATGGAAGCTCAGTATATTTCATAAGTTAGATTTCATATACAATTTGCAGGTGTTGAAAAAGTCATACCTAGGTGTGCTGGTATATTTCATAAGTTAGATTTCATATACAATTTGCAGAATAATGGCTCACACACAGAAAGAACATGGAAAGACCTGAAGCCTTTTTGAGATAAGGCTAGTGCTATTAGTGTCTATGGTGTGTCTGCTTGTTTAAAAAAACATGCACAGACCTTAAAGCAGCACATCATACCACGTACTTCTCTATGGAAGAAAGATCAGCAGAGCTGCAGTTGATAAATATATAAATCGATGGTGGCTTATCAGACTGCCAGCGACCTGCATCATTGACCAATGGTTGGTGAGAAGTTAAGCTCATCATATTATCAGAGTGGATCTGAATTAAGGAGAACAAACCTTCATCGTCTTCCTCAAAATCAAAATCCAATGTGCGACTTAATGATCTGCAAAATGTTATCATGGGACCAATAGGAACATCTTCCAATGTCCCAATAGTTAAACCATCAATCTGAAACAGTAGATAAAAAGATACTGGAGTCAGTTAAGTTGCCTCAAACCACACAATGGCACCAGTTAATATCTAAAATATTTTGCCCATGAAAATATTGGAGAACTTCTAAACATGCAACGCAACGATGGTTTGAGTGAGATTCCGAGCGTCAGTAAAACCCAAAATCTTTCAATCTAGTTGGGAGGGGTGTACCTATCCAGTTTGGGTAAGGCTTAACCTTAGCTAAACTCGTGTACTTTGGATTTGATGCCTCAAGGATATAAATTTACAAATTTCTCCCGATCTTTGGATGTTGACCTTTCTATTGTTTGTCCTTCAATTTTGGCGTAGATCTAGTCACTAAATTGTGGTGGGCGTGCTTTATAATCCTTGTGCAGACTTGCAGTACAATTGATATACAGAATATCAAATAACAGTAATCGTAGTAATGAATAAGAACTCCCCCTAATATGTTGTGCTCAATGAAGCAAATGGACCACTAAGGGTCTGGTTAGGCTTGTTTGGATAAAGAGAGAACGAGGAAAGAAAGAAGTACGGGAGCTGAAAATTAGTAGATTATTAGGGGGTGGATTGAAAAAAGGAGAGAAATAGAATAAAAACAAAAGGGTTGTCCTACGCACATTAAAGGTTTTGGGTTTTTTGAAATACTGGATAACATAATTCGGGAAACATGTATACTTTTTCTCTTTTTTGAATTCAAAAAACATGTTTACTTCACCAGATTTAAAATATAGAAAACAAAAAAATGTTCTCCAATTCCAAAGTTGTTTTTAAAAAATGCATTTTTTATGTTTCACAACGGCGCGGTTCTTTTAACATCAAAAATTGTTGTCATAATATGACAACACCACCTACGATTCTCCGTTTGAAAAAGTGAAGGTTCCTACCCCCTTAACCCCCTGCCCCCTCACCAAAATTCCCGATTGTAGCCAATCCGCATTTTTGGGGAGGGGGGCAGGAGGGTGCTGGGGTGGGGGTAAGGAGGGTAGGAACCATCAATTTTTTGAATGGAGCACCGTAGGTGCTGTTGTCATATTATGACAACAATTTTTGTAGTCAAAAACACGGGGGCGGTTTCACAAAGCATAAAACATAAAAATTGGAAAATAGAAAGCTGGGAATAGAATTAAACAAAATAACGAACCCTATGTTTTTCCCTTCATTTGGCTGGTTAGAGAATGAAGAGAAAAATGTTTGTCATAGGTTGTGAGTTCATGGTATTGGCTCAATGTTCTGAGGTTGTGAGCTATATAATTTTGGTAGGGCAGGTAGGCTATAGCCAGATTCCTTGTCATTATGCAGGCTAAGGGACCAAACCCACAACAAGTATATTCAAATTTATTATATTTTGACATCTGAATATCACATTTGACTATGTTTTAGGCTTGCTTGAGGGGGGGAAACGTGTAACATATTGCATAATACTTCTGCTTTAATAGTTACAACACATTCCTTTTGGAAGTTTATAAATAACTGCAACACTTTTATTTTGGATGGACCTTACCCAAACAACCATATGACTTGATCCGGAATACCTGAATCCAGACCCGACCTGAGACTGAAAGAACTGAACCGTTTTTCACTTGAAACCTGAACGGAACTTATCAGAAACTGAACTGATCTGAAACTCGATTCCAACCGAACCAAAGTGACACAATCATAAACCCAAACCCAAAACTTAACAGACCTATTCAAACACGAACTCGAAATGAACCAAACTGAATCCAACCTGAACCGAAATAACCCAAACAAAAATGACCCCAACCTAAGCTTGACCTGGTCGAGTCTCACCCAACAAGAGATTAGGACTACAAAATATACTCCAAAACGATATAGGATGCAATGTACTACAAATATACTCCAAGAGAGTATATTTTGTATTTCCATAATTTTTACCCTTTTGTACGGAGTACTCTGCATTTTATATTCTTATATGTAGGATATTTAATTATTTATTTATTAATTAATGTAATTGATACTTGGAGCTGAGAATTAAAAATGTTATAAGTTATATGAAAAGGTGACAATTGACAGATTAAGACCTTACACAATGTGTGATTGGTTGTGATCAAGAAGAATTTTATATCGTATGATGCGTTCAATTGAGATGCATGACATATTGAAGTGACAATCCAAACTTGTATGAATTAGTTCATCCTTGTTTTTAATTAAGAGTCAAATGTGAGTGTGGATAAAAAAAGAATACCCATTCCTAAATCATATTGATGAGATTAAAATCATAATTGAAAATTGTTTTATCGGTTCTCCTAAACATTGAATCGAAATGAATGGTTAATCCAATTTCGAGTTCCATTCACATCATCAAATCTCAAGAAATCAAATTAAAATCTAAGTCAACCCGAAAATAACGCAATCAAAATTTAATCTGGCCCGAAACTTACCCAACTTAAAATTTGGCCAAAAAAAACCCCCTTGAAATTTGACCTGACTCGACTCTCACCTAACCCGAAATTGACCTGAAGCCTTAACTGAAACGTATCCAATTCGACATTGACCCAACACATACCCAAACTGACCTGACTAAGTTTCACCCAAATTGGATCCAACCCAAACTTAACTCAAACCGAATCCAAACCCGAATCTTAATACATTGATCCAAATTTGACCTGAATCAAATATAACCTGACCCGAAATTCATCGACCCAAATGTTACCCGACCTGATGTAAGCCCAACCCCAACCCCAATGACTTGTTTGACATGTCTTATTTTGGGTTGTGAAAGTGCCTAAATGACTATGATACCCTTCATTTCCCCCAACTAACAATTATATAAATGTACGGAGTAGCTTTTTTCCCTCTCCCAATGAAATGGTAAGACTGAAACACACACCTACCTCATTTTTGTGCCATCTAGGCATCTCCACGTTGCATTGATTAAAAGAACGGAAGAAGTACATCATTTTCATCAAGTTTCTTTGGAACTGATAGGAGAATGTAATTTCTTTTGATCCACATGGAATAGTAGTGAGTGAAGATTTCCTTTGTTCAAGAAAATGTTTCCGATGTTATTCACAAAAAAAAAGAGTAATTGTACATCTATCTCAGACTTTGCACGTATATGTTCAGTAAGCAGCAATACATACTATGGTATTCCACAAGTGACATAGTTTCAACGAGAAAGTTTATTTTTTAGCAATCGCACTACAAAATAACAAGCAGAGCAATGTATCAAAAATAACAATAATAACAATGATGACCATGATAATGACAACATTTACCATGTCAAAAGCTGTTCTGAAAAGTGTTGATGCCCTGCGCTTTTCCGGCTTATCAGAAAATACCTTTGAAGTAAGCGTCAACGTAAGATCTTCAATAATAATAAAGAAAATACCATTGAAGCAAGCAACTTTGTAAGATCTTCAACAACAACAACAACAACAACAACAACAACAACAATAATAATAATAATAATAATAATAATAATCTCATTAAGTGAACTAGAAAACATAAATAGGGTTCTCTTACAATGCAAGCCCTTGTTTCCTTCTTCTCTTGAAGCTTCTTGACAATAGCCAATACAAGTTGAACGTTGGCATCATTAAACTCATCTGATGATCCCTTCAAATATTCGTGAAATCAAAAATATCATTCACGCGAAAATCTTTAATCAGAAAAATCTCATTCACGAGGTTCCTGTTTCAATGAAGCTCATTAAAATTGCAAAAGCTACCACCAATCATCCACATGCATTACACAACTGACAAGCCCAAAATGGTACTATATGGAAAAAAAACAAACAACTACACTAGGAAATCATGCATTAAAATCTACTTGATTGTCAAAATGGTAAAACTAATACCATACCTTATATGAAGAAACGTTGCTGGGCAAGGGGCTGAGGATCGTTGAATAGTTGGAACATAAGAAGAAGCCCCACAAAGAAGCATAATCAATAATGAAGTCTAGGTAATTGAGATAATAAAACTGTATCATAGAAAAAATAAATTGAATAACATTTAAGACTACATCTGGCACTCATGATTTGGATATGAATGGGATTGTGATTCTCATTTCTCAGCCTCAAGTTTCCCTTATGGCATTTGGCACGTTCATTTCATCAAAGTTTGATTCTATAGAATACATAAAAATTATTTTCCTTTACTACACAAAGGCACAAGAGATATGGAACCAAAATATACTTGTATTTACTTTGCATCAAAATAAGGACAACAATATAACTCCCTCTGCCCCGTTGGAAATTGACATGTTTGAATTCTTGAATGAAATACATTAAATTTTGAGTGATGATATTTTTTTTTTAAATGCAGAGCCAATTAATCTAACAAATACTTCCTTTGTGCCAGAGAAGTTTAAGCTTTGAGAGAACTGTAAACCTAGTGTAAACTTGTCTTCACACTTAAAAAAGGAAGGAATAAATGCTAACTAAATAAAGATAATAGAAATAAAAATCGCAAAATATGTTAACAGATAGAGGATAAATAGGAGCAATAGAGTTACGGGAATTCAATTTCTACGCGAGTCTTCCCGTCACTTAGAGCGCAAAACAGGGAATCTGCGGCGTCAGATACCAGGACATCGTAAGACCTCGGCTTGTATATTGCGACGCCGAGCTTGGGGTCGGCGGCGGGTTTCGCCTCTTTCTTGGCGCACTGCGTCAATCTGAACTTGAAAGGGATTGAATTTTGATGGGATTTGGAACTCAAGTGAGAAAATGGGGTGAGATTGGAAGATAAACGGAAAAGTTTAAACTGAAAACCGAAGGAGGACGGAGGTGACGGGGTGCGAACCGCCATTGCCATGGCTGCTTTGGTTGATTGAAGAAAACGTGGAGGGAAATTCACGACAGCCTTTTTCCCTTGGATAAGGAAATCTCCAATAGATCAGCCATATATATTGTTAAAAACTACTCCCTCTGGCCCGCTATATTCGTCCACTTTTGACTTTTGGAACTGTTATCTAAGCACTTTGACTAATCAAATTCTCTCAATGTGTAAGCCTAAATATAGTCATGTGTAATCCTGTTTGATTTGTCTTAACATATAGATTATTAATATATAATTTCTATAATTTTTTAATATACAAATTACAAGATAAAATGGATTAAAAAAGTGTGTTGGATGGTGTGCAAAAATGAAAGTGGACAAATACTTTGGGACGGAGGGAGTAGATTTTACCCGTGCAATATAATAAAAAAGCACTTTATTTGTGTAAAGAATAAGTTTTTTAAAATGTGTTATTATGGTGAAAAATACAATTAAATATGTATCACACCCGAATAGTGCATATATCAAACATCAATGCACTTTGTAGTTTTAGATCATACAAGAGTGCATTACACATAAATAAATTAAACATATAAGAATGCATTATAAATTCTGGAAGACTTCTTTATATACAACATTTGAAGTGTAATCCAAAGCATTGTTTTCTTCATCACAGCATAGGATCTTCAGTCCTTCACAATTTGACACACGGGAGAGAGCAACATATAGCTGACCGTGACTGAAGACTGGTTTTTTAAGTAGTAGCCTAACATGCGATAAAGATTGACCTTGACTTTTGTTAATGGTCATTGCATAAGAAGTCATGACAGGAAATTGTTTCCTTTGAAACTTGAAAGGAATCCTTTTATCCGATGGAGTCAATGAAAGTCTTGGGATAACAACTTCATGCCCATCATTTTTCCCTCCCATGACTTTTCCTTGAATTAGATGCTTCCCCAATTTTCTCACTATTAATCTTGTACCATTGTAGAGGCCCATAGATTGATCAATATTTCTAAGAAGCATGATTGGGGTACTGACCTTCAACGTAAGCACATAGTTTGGAACACCTGAAGCTCGAATGCCATTTAAAAATTCTAGTGAATGCAAATCAGATAAAACATCCATGTTTGAGTCTGACTTACAAATGCTATCCGAGCTTAAGTACGTTTTGGACTCCTCCTTCACATTCTTTGATGTCATCTAATCATTAACATCATCTACCACATCTAATGTTGGCGCTAGAATGGCTCTATGTTGCAAGTACGATGGGTCGTTTGCGATGATGTTAAAATCTCGGTATGTTGATTGCACAATTGCCTCGATGGGATCATTGAAGTATTTCAAAAGAGTAAATTACAGAAATGGAACTAAAACATAGGCATATTCCGTAAATAAGACTGGTCCCATGCGGTTATACGTTTGCCGGTCGTAAATGACCGAAATAACCTCAGACACCAATTCAAGGGTAAAGGTATTTGTACCCCACATTTTTGTACCCCATTTTGTACCCCGCAGCTTTGCACCAACACTTTGTGTTGGTGTAAAACTAATTTTTGTTAATGCACCAACACTTTGTGTCCGTGTAAATTTTTGTTAATGCACCAACACTTGTGTCGGTGTAAACCATCAAAATGTTTGTGTATAACTACGGTGTACAAATGGGGTACAAAATATGACTAAAACATAAGTCATTTCTCAATGTAAAACTTAAACTTTTTTATTCCCTAAATAGTACTTAATAATGTCTAGTGAGAGAAATAATGCCTAGTGATGGTGGACATTTACTTGGATAATGAATAATGAATAATGACTAATGATTCTACATTAGAAATAGAAAACATATGGTCCTATATTGACAAATTAAAGTCATTATGTTTTAGTTTTATATAGGTAAATTTCCCTTGTAGGACTAAAACATAATGACTTTCTCAATATAGGATCTTATGTTTTTATTTTCCAATGTAGGACCTTTGGTCATTATCAATTAGTCATTATTCAAGTAAATGTCCATCATTACTGGACATTATTCCTCCCTTTTGGACATTATTAAGTCTTATTTAGGGAATAAAAAAGTTTAAGTTCTACATTGGAAATGACTTATGTGTTAGTCCTATTTAGTGCAAATTTCACTTTTAAAAATGGAAATATATACGATCTTTACTAAGAAAAATCCAAGAATTAAGTGTTTGTAGCGCAATTGGATTAAAATTTGTTGGTCATTAAGTCTTTGTGAATGGGTACTTTATTTAATGCTTTGTTTGATAAATATTTTGTTAAATTCATCGTTATTGGGATTAAGCCTTTAGCTTCAAATTTATTATTAAGTCTTTATGAACTAGTGTTTTTACTTTTCGTTAATGCTTTGTTGAAGAGTTTCAAGTTTTGGACATTTTATATTACCTTTTCCATCATTGTTAGTCTTTTAAGGACATAATTTGCAAGTTTTACTTGTTCAATAAGTTATTCTTAAATGGTTCGTACCAAGAAAAATAAAAATACAAAAAATATTAGGTGATTTCAAAAATGAAAAAATGTACAAAGTACGTAGTATATTTTAATAATGTAAAAAATGTATGAGCTGAATTCTCAAGGGCCCCCTAAGACCCGGTCGAATGGTCATTGATAAAAAATAAATTAGCCTTTGATCGCAGATTGGTGGTAAAGATTAGAGACGAAGCAGTGATTGTAAACAACATGTTAAGAATTTGGAGATGAAGCAAAAAGAAGTGGCGGTTAATAGGATAGAAAATGTAATAATTGCATTCTAAAAAATAGGAGAATTTAATGGTTGGTATTATCTCTTAATACGTAAAGAACATAAAAATTAAATATGGAAGGACAATATGTGTACGAGCGCGTGATAACATTATAAGGGCAAATGTGGACTGGACATATGATCAAATTTTAGTCCTAGAAAAAGGAAAAAAAGTAAAGAGTCTTATTTAGGGAAAAGTAGTGGCTTTTAGTCCTAGTGGCAGCAAATTTTACATTTCAAAATAATATCATCAGGAAGAACAATTTTTGCACACCCATCCTTTTCATCGCCTACATTCCCATCACCAATATTAGCAATCCATTCTGCGAATCCAACCAAAGTATGATAGTTTTCTGCTTGCACCATAGATTGCAATCTCATATTTTTGTTAAACGCAAAACTGTACAATGTTCCCAAAGGTATGATGAATTGATTGTTGCACTAACAATATCATGTCTGGTTCCCTTGAGAATTACTGGTAAGATTTGACAAAAATCACCGCCAAAAACAATTGTTTTCCCCCCAAAGGGTTTATTGTCATTTGAATGATTAATCGAACTCATAATGTCCCGCAAGCTTTTGTCCAATGCTTTAAAGCAGTGTTTATGTGTCATCGGTGCTTCATCCCAAATGATAAGTTTTGCGCGAATTAACATGCAACACCCGCCTTCCGTGGACCCAGTTCACCCGCGACCCAACGGACCAGTAGGGTTACATGGGCGGTCCGAGAACCGTCCGTAGCAAAAGAAAACATTAATGTCTATTTATTATGAAAACGGTTGTGTTTAATAGGTGAAATAAATGCTAGGGAGTTATTCCCAAAACGTGTGTGGTATAAACGCAGAGTAAAAGCAGAAGTAAATTAATAAGTCCAATTCAAAATAAGTAAAACGACAATGGTGGGTTCATGCCCAAATGATTAATTAATTAAATGTATTTAAATATTGAACTCATTCGTGCGCCGCCCATCCTCTCATCATCACTGTCCTCCAGGATTAGCACTCGTACCTTCATGTCTACCTGCGTGTAGCAAAAACAACTACACGCTCAGCAAAAGCTGAGGAGTGAATCTAACAAAAGAACATGAAGTGATAACCCATATGATTATACACATAATAACACCTGTACTTAACATACGGAAAACCACATGTTACTAACTGCTCAGTTTACACCTTATGGGGTACTATTACACATAACAAAGTGATATACAACCACATTGAATGCTGATGTGATGAGAAACATACATGATGATGAATTGATGCATGACTTAAACTATCAGGGACACCCCTGGCTTAGTCTCACTTGACAGGATCACCCCTGCACTCTGGTTATCATACCCGAACAGTAATGAGCCGGGCTCAACGTAAACATCGCAAGTGGACTAACAGAACCAGGTAGTAGCCGTAACCTGACTACTATGTACGTACACAAGGCCCACATGATGAAAACCCGTTGGATCCCAAAGGTTCCTGGACGGGCCCACTGTAGTAGGCGCACGAAAGCCTGACCTCCCTACAGCGGTATGCACATGATGATAAACCTATGACATGCGTCTAGAATGAACATGATGAATGCTTGATATATTTACCTTTTGTCAACGCCAAGAATATATCAATTAAATAACATACATAATGAAGATTAACATTTCATGCAACATACAATCGGATTCTGGGTCAATATGGTCAACGAAGCTCGTTCTACAAACTACCCGGAATTCTGCCTGCGGAACGGTTGACCGTACCCTACCGGCGGTCGATCGTGGGCTACGGTATGGGGGTCTGGAACGCCGACGGTCCACCGTGGTCTTCCGTCGCGGCCGGCGGTCGACCGTCACGGTGGTGATCGTCGGAATGGCCGAGGGAACGGTCCACCGTCGTAGCGGTGGTCGACTGTCCCGAAGACATTCTTCTGTCTTTGGTTCCGTTTTGATCCACTTTGCAAACTTAACACCTTGATTCTTTTTAGAATGATATTACAACATTGATGAATATATTCCTAGTGATTCTTAGGCCAATATATATAAGTTTACGTAGTGAACGTTTTGATGGTTAACCTACGAACATGCATAGATTCTACGTAGGTTGCGTACGATATTCCTATGAATATAACGACATAGATTATAACTAAATGTTCTAGAATTAGAGGGGACAACTACTCACCTCTAAACGTAGGGGTTGACGGAACGATGAAACGAGATGAACGAACGGCGGTAACGCTCGGACGAACGATCACCAACGACCTTACGCGTTTCTTCACTTCTACATTCTTCTCCTCCTTCTCGCTGGAAGCCTCCCCTTGACTGCTTGCTGGCCGGCCGGAAAAACCAAATGAAGAG